GATGAAACCTGTGAAAGGCGGTGTCGATGGGCGTCCAAGACACGCTATATTAAGTGTAAATATAAGCGAAGAAAGTGATTATTATGGATTATCATCAATAATTATAATTAAGAGACTGAATATAGTTTGTCAAGTATGAAAATAAAAAGTATATGATTTATATCCACTCTATTTCATTAAGTGTTACGAAGGACAGCAGGTAGAATTTTCCGACAATAATGTGAGCAGGTTTCACGTTTCCATTGAATTTCAGTCCTGTTTCGCAAAATCTATTTTTATCCAGGGTTGGCTGCAGTTTCAACCTCGTCTAAATCTTACCAGCAATGCAGCGTATAATCTCGACATATTAACCACTCCACCATACTGACATACTTATACCATTATGGAAAAAATCATCATCTTATAAAGGAACTAGTGATATCATCAAAAGAATCCAATTATAAATTTTTTTAATAATATTTGTAAGACTATTATAATAATAAATATTCAGCCCAGGCTATATAAAATGATGAAGGTACAAGTTGAATTTCCCCACAAAGATATTCAAGATCTACTGATAACCGCGAACCTACTAAACATGAATATAAGTAACGTGGTCGATTATAATGACAAAATACAACTTTGCACTATCGAAAACCAATGAATAAAAGTTAAACGAGAAATGTCTAGTAGGACTTGAAATCCATGTACGCTGTAACCCACTGACAAATGCGGGTTACATGTCAAAAATATACACTGTACTACCCGGGTTCGACTACTTTAGAGACGTTAATAAGACCCAGACAACGGATGACGACACATGTTTGAAGATAAGGCTCAATAAAATTCAGCTGCATGTCCTCACAGCATTTTGGAATAATTTTACCATTAGTCTTTAGCTTATATGGCATAGAATGAATACTGTTCTTAGTTAAGTAATACATTGAAGGGATGGACAAGCTTTGTATAATGTAGGGGCTAATTTCTTCATCTAACCCATAAGTCATTTTTCATCATAGTTGAAATTTCGACCTAATCTTGATAAGACAACGCCTTCTATTCATAAAGCAAATCTATGACTGCCTCGCTAAGTAAAACTAATTTATCAAGATATGTGGTGAAACGCTGGAGTTCGAAGAATGCTAGAAATAATTTCATACGATTAAACGTATGAAAAGTTTGATGAAAACAATTTGTACATTGGCCTAACCGGAAACATGTTAGTGAGTGATAATTTAAACGAAGTCGTTTCGGTCCACTTTAATTTGTCAGACTTGCTGCAATAAGGCATTCTATGATATGATTAGCTACTTCATGTTTGCAAATGAATGAAATGTAGATCATGTAATGGTAAGCTTAGCACATTGTGTGCACGTGGCTTATACGTACGTAATTGTAGTGCCCTAAAGAGATTATAGGCTAATCAGACCTATTACACTTATTTGGTAGTACATTCTGCTCGCTGGATTTAGTCAGCTAGAAGTAGTTGTCACTCACTGCCTAGTCTTGCTCATTCTATTCAGGATGTTGGTAATTTTTATAATTGCTATTAATTCACTAATATCCCTCTATGTTCAGCGAAAGATTGGGTTTTAGCCATTCTAATATGCACGTGTTTTATCAGTTCAGATTGCATGAAGTATATTACTTTGCGAGCATTTCGTGGTCAGATAGCCTCTTATGTATGGATTGACAATATCCATCTATAAAAATTTGGTATAGTTTGAATATTTACTATGAGAAAGCTAACCTTTATACGCGGTTATAATAGTCCACTTCTTCAGTATTTTACTTATTCGTTCAGAAAGATGGCGGGATAATAGCATAAAACCCATGAAGGGTTGTCAAACACTCCAAAAAGATTATTTTCACAACCATACTTCTTATTATCATGAGATAATTGTCAATTAAATCCATTAGAAAATACCATGAATTAAAAGTAATCTTAATCTTTCCAGTTCCTTATCCTTCAAACTGTTCTAAACAGACCTATAATCTTGCGTAAGAATGAATAATAAGGAGCAAATTTAGGTTTTGCTTGTCTACAAAATTCATCCCCATCTAAACTGGTTTCCTTCTAACTATAAATTAAGCCCTGACAAGGTAGTCAATCATCACTTTATAACTCTATAAAAAATGTAGCCGTCATGTCCATTGTAATTAATTCTTCAAGACTTTCTGCCAAGTTGCCAGAGTAAAGCAATCATCCCTATATCAAACCAATTGCTTAGAAACCAGGAGCGCTTCTTGAATTAGATTAATCCTTAATAAAGTAATATAGGTACCCGCTAAAATAGGATCAAAAACGGTCCCATAGCCAAACCTCGTATTTGCGATGAGGCAAAATTAGAATTGATCATCACTGAACTTATCGCACTAATAGTAGGCTCAATTCTTAATATTTAGTCATTGTGATCTCTGGATATCGATCCAAAGCTTGTTTCCTCAAATATCGGATTACGACTGCGCATCAAAAAGTGCGCTGAAAAAGATTTCACATGACAGACTAAGGCTCAATACAGCAGTACGAAGATGTCCTCGAAAACTCCGAAACAATCTTATTTTATTTATACGAGGTGTATTCACCCTATTTTATTTAAGGTGATGAAGAAATGGTAGTAGAGTTTTCCCCAGTAATATGAGTAGAGCTGACGTTCTACTACCAGTCCTTCATCATCTTAAACGAAATAAAGTGATTACATCTGCATATAACTGATTTACTGATAGTCTCGAAACTCTGCTTATATACGAAAAATATTATTTTAGTTTGCAATAATACCATTTTATGAATTACTTCCTCCACAAATTTTCGCATAGAAGTTAGATCTAGCAACGGTTTCATAATATTCATTTTACTTAGACGTAAAATTATACGATATCGAAATAAAACATTATCAATATTCATTGTAGGTAATTTTAACTTGAAATGATTGTTAAAATAACAAATTTAAATGACATCTGTAAAAGCAGAAAAATTAGTTTATAAACTCCCGTAAATGATGCTAAAATCTGCTTCGAATGTTCCATTACATAGAAAACAAAATTATTAACCCATTGATACTTTTCGCAACATGGTCATATTGGTGGCTTATGATGGCGATACTCACTGACGATGCCGACTACGATGCCTGCGAAACGTTTGGGAATGTTCCACGTCCATGGT